TTTGAACAATAATTCAATTACTTACACGTGATTGCAAGGGAAAGCCCATAAGTATGTGCGTTTATACTTGTAATCAAGTCCACATCTTTCTTTTTCATTGAAATTAAATTTGTTTTTCTAATTTACTCATAATCAAGCTATCTACCTTTTATTTTTATTTTTAAAAAACCAGTAATAAAAATTACATTCTTATGAACATATATCCTTGTTAGCTAACCCGTTAAAATTCTTATTTATAATCAAAGCAATACCAGCATTCGGTCAGCATTAAACTTAACCTGTTTCACGCGTGCGACACTCAACACAAGGACACACCACGTCACCACCCATTGTTTAATACTCTACTGTAGTATACTCCTCCTCCTCCGACCTTTTTTTGGTGGGCGCTTGACTTTGACGAAAGGTTTGTCCCATTGTCAATCCCCGACCGACAAGGTCTCTCACAGAGCAATCTAATCTGCATTCAGCATTTGTACCTATAAAAAAGAAAACAAGAAAAGAAGAAGCACGTGCAAGCTTCTCATGTGACCAGAACATATGTATCTGCTGCTCCTGGTACTGTTATATCTTTATCTTTCTTTCTCTCTCCACCAAGTTTCCACAACCGAGTTGGGCTATATATTCACGAGTTTTTTGCCTTCCGTTTTGTTCCATCTGAGTCTGGATTTAGCAACTCCGTGTTTTCACAAGTTTTGCTTGCTGCAGCCACAAAGATTGTCACTCTCCTACATAATTCACTTGGTCCATTGATTTTAAGAAGATTGTCAAGAAGGACTAGTTCGATTAAGGCGGCTATGGATAACTCATCCTGGGTTGATACTTCTTTAGATCTTAATATCAATCCTCTAAGAGTGAAAAGTGATGCTCCAGTTGATGCAGAAAGGTTTGGGGTACCAAGAAAAATGAAACCCACTTTCATGTTCCAGACCAAGCCTTCAGCGAATTCGAAAGAAGAGGTTAGCTTTATATATATATATATGCAGATACTCGCTTTGCAGTAATTTGATTATGTTTGTAGGTTTTAGTTGCATACCCCTCTTCCTTTCTTTATGGTTTATGGCCATCAGTTGAAGGCTAAACACATAGCTTCTTACATTCGATTTGGTTTTGTTTTTCAAACAAATTTCAATAAAGCATGTAACTTTCAGCAAGAACAAGATATTATGAATTCTTGTCACTGGGTTTCATGAAAAGATATATAGAAATGTTTTTGCTGTCATATATCATCAAAATATTGATTCATAGAAAAAAAAAAAAAGATTAACTATTACAAAAGGGACTAGTATCCTTCTTAAGTTTTAGCTAGGAACTGGCTGAACTTGATTAGAATAGGAACCTATCCGAGGTGCTTCTAAAACTTGCAGTCTTTTAGGAGTTTTGAAGTTGAATTTATTTTGTATAATTACTGATTTCAGACTGGAGCCATAGAAGAGGAATTGAACCGAGTGAGCGAAGAAAACAGGAAGCTCACTGAAATGCTAACTGTGATGTGTGAGGACTACAATGCTTTAAGAAACCAGTTGATGGATTGCATGTGCAAGAATGGAGAAAAGGAGCTTCATGGCCCATCAAAGAAAAGAAAGTCTGCAAGCAGCAACAACAACGATAATAACATTGCAATGAATGGGAACTCTGAGAGTAGCTCAACCGATGAAGAATTGTCCAAGAAACCAAGGGAAGAAGTCATCAAAGCTAAGACTTCCAGGGCTTATGTCAGGACTGAAGCGGGTGATAAGAGCCTTGTAAGTGCATATAATACACCTCTCTGGTGCAAAAATCACGGTTGTTTCTCAAGTTTACAGGTTATTTCGATATGCTATGCAAATGTCTTCATGGTTTACTAAGCGATTGCATATAATTTATTGCAGATCGTGAAAGATGGATATCAATGGAGGAAATATGGCCAAAAGGTCACCAGAGATAACCCTTCTCCAAGAGCTTACTTCAAATGCTCTTTTGCTCCAAGCTGCCCTGTCAAAAAGAAGGTGAGACTGAAACCATAAACACAGTTAGTTCTGTGCTGCATATGTAAAGAGCATTGGGTCGATTTCGTCCATGTTCTGACTTGTTCAATTTAGCTGTGATGAGGCAAATAAATAGCATATAATTAAGTTGGCATTTAAACTCACATGGACTGTGAATTTTGTCCAAGTTTTCTTTGTGCATGAAATAAGGGTTTTAGTTCCAACTTTCTTCCGTATGAAGTGAAAAAGCTGAGTAGAATGCTAAGATTCTTCTGTTCTCACTTGTGGCTCATTCAGGTTCAAAGGAGTGTTGACGACCAATCCGTTCTGGTGGCAACTTATGAAGGAGAGCACAACCATCCCTCAATGGAGGCAACATCAGGTTCAAGCCATGGTCTAACACTCGGTTCGGTACCCTGCTCCGCATCTCTAGCCTCATCTGGGAAAACTAATATCACTCTTGATCTCACAAAATCTAAGTCTAGCAATGAAGCCAAAAGTTCAAAACCAAAAACCGATGCACCTGAAGTCCGGCAATTCTTGGTGGAACAGATGGCCTCTTCGTTGACGAAAGATCCCAATTTCACAGCAGCACTGGCCGCAGCAATCTCAGGAAGAATGTTGCAGCAAAATCACACAAAGTGGTGAAATTTCTACTTAGATAGGAGAAGAAGCTCATACAACTTGGAGTTCTATAAATTATGTAGGTTTCTATTAGATTATGTGGGTTCCGTCAGACCATTTTGAATTTTACAATGTATTTGTAAATACATCATCTGATACACGGAGAAAAAAAAATCCCAAGAAAGATAGCACCTTTGAGGGATCCAAACTCAAATTGCAAAGCAAGGGTTATTGCCATTTTAATGGATAATTATCAGTTTTTGATATATGTTTATTTGTTGGTATGCATGGTCTTTCAGAGTCAAGTGCTAACCTTATGATAGTGGGTGAGTTTTAGATATATTATAATGGATAATTGCCATCTTAACGTATCTAGGGCAGCAATTGCACATCAATCAGATGTCTTTAATTGACTGCAAGGGCGCAAGGTTCTGGTTTTGGCCAAATGAATGTTTTGTTAGAACAACTGGAGTCCAGGACCACCATATCCATGTCATATTATGTCGTCGAACTTCCATTTAGCAGAAAGTCTTTGGCATCCAACCTTCCAGAATTACTGGGACGGTGTTTTTCTCAAGTTAAGTTGAATGATACAAAGTAGATGTTCGTGTGCTCCAGCTAGTGTGAAATTAAGCCGAGGTAGTTGGGATTTGACAAGATTTTTGGATTTGGAATGCTCTCTCCGGACAAATATAACCGGCTATTTTGACTACTTATCAAGATTCTATGCCGGTTATTTTGACTTATCAGCATTCCGTGGGTTCTTTAGGTTATAACCTTGATGGCACCACTTCTGGATTTTACCGATGTCCTGTTAGATCGCTCTTTCCAGGAAGGATCGTTGCTAAATTGAGATGGGTTCTAGTGATGCTTATCTGACAGCTCCAATGGCTGCTTGCCTTGATGTTTGGACCGCAAACAACACCCCGTGTGTTACGTGAACAATCTACTGCTGGTGACAAGAGTATTTTTCCATATTCAACTGAGGGGGTCAACAACGAGTCTTAATCCACGCAAGAATTCTTGCTAGTAATTGGCAGAAATTCGCAAAAATTGAAGGATCCAACTCGTACAAAGAGAGAGCGTTACCGCTGTGTAACTTCACCATTAGTCAAGAAGGATCTTGCAATGATTATGAACCGAAGGAGTATATTGCCGTGTAAGGATCTTGATATGCTTTTGCATGACTAAGATGTTTTCAAACTAGGCTGTGGTATCTTTAGATGCCTTGTTAAAAGTACAGGAACATGTATTCCCTGTAACAAGCCAATAGATCAAAACCAACAGTTTATTCACCTAGAAAGGAAATTGGACTAGCTATTCACGAGTGGTAACAGTAGTAAATTTAGCATAAAAATAAAAATAATTATTATTATAATTTTAAATTTTAATTTATGAGTTTATTCAATATCATGTCAGGATTATGTATCAGATTAACCATAACACCAAATCAATATAAGAAGAAAAAAAAATTATTATTATAGTTTTAAAATTCAATTGAGAGTTATTGATCTGAGTCAACATAAAAATAAAAATAATTATTATTATAGTTTTAAAACCTACTCAGGTCATGGATTGGCTTAATTATTGACTCAGTTTAATATAAAAATATTTATTATCATAGTTTTAAAATCCTATTAGGAGGTTGACCTGGGATCAGGATCGGGTCACAAGTTGGTTTGACCATTAACTCAGGTCAACATAAAGATTCAAATGGTTATTATCATAGTTTTAAATTCCAACTAAGGGTTCGACCTGATGTATGATCATAGTCACAAGTCGAGATAGTCTACCCGGGTTGACTTGAGACAATATAAGAATAAAAATAATTATTATCATAATTTTAAAATCCAATTCGAAAGTCGATCTATAATTATTATCATAGTTTTAAAATCCAATTCGAAAGTCGATTTAGGGTAAGGCTAAAGTTACGGGCTAGAAGGATTAACCCGAGTTGATTTAAATCAATATAAAAATAAACATAATTATTATTATAGATTCAAAATCCAACTTCAAAATCAACTTGGGGCAAGGTTGAGATTACAAGTCATGAGAGTCAATGTATAAATAAAAATATTTATTATTATAATTTTAAAACTTAACTCAGGAGTTGACATGAGGCAAAGTCGACCCCTAAATTAACACTCCAAAATTATAATAACAAATTATTTAATCCACTCCAAAACACTCCGTACACAAAATAAAACAGTTATTTAAGTGCAGTACAGTAAAATCCAGTCTAATAAATATTTTCTAGCATACCATGTATTACTTTAGCATTCCAAGAATTTGAGGTGTGACTGATGACTTATTCCAAGCAAGACATCCGAATTTTTCAGCCACGCAGGCAGGAGCCATGTCTAGAAGAATATTTTTGCCATAATCCAAAAGGAAAAGTGCTAATTAAAAGCATGTCGGAAAGCTTATTTGACTACAATAATTCAAGAATCTATTCTCAACCTTGAAAAGGAAAGGAACATAGAACTTGAAATACCGACATTAAATGTTCATGTAACCGTGAGTGAATTTTTTGTCGCAATAACTGCATTCACTGAATCATTTTACGTGAGCAGAACTTGATTACGACTTCAAAAATCTAAAGTAGCACGGCAGTCTCTTTCAATCACAGAAAATTAGTTGGACCAAGATGGACATTCCATGAATAAAATTGAATCCTACCATTTGAGACGTGGAAGCGAAGACATTATCACACAGATTATTCTAACATCCCATCCATTCAGTTTCCCATTCCACAAGGAAAAGTCACTACATCCAGGTCGATTCAACATGTAAATTTACTTGCACCACCAGATAATACAGCATTCATTGAATCCTCAATTTCTTTCACTTTGGTCTTCGCCTCAAGATAGCCATCCTTTACCCTTGCTTCTCCCTTGGTGGTCCACTTGGAATCTGAAGCAACTTATGAGATGGTCCAGCCGCTTGCATGAATTAGTATATAGCTGTTGGACTAACACTTCAAAACCCTCTTGTTGCCATGTCCTTCCTTATGAGCTCTGCTTTTGGAGTCTTGACTGGAACTTGGTGGGAATATCGGAATTGGCTTATGGATGACAAAGTTCGAGGTGTGTTTAATAAAAGAGCCAAACTCATCTATGAACTGCAGCATCAACAACAAGCTGCGAGTTTACAGCAGTTTGGAGGTCATGGGTTGGGACAATCTTCAACAGTATTATACAGAGCCCAGAGCTCTCTTTACCATGAGTTATTAACAAAAGTCACAAAAAAAAAAGGGGAGTCGAATATTAGGCTTGCAACATGAATTAATCAAACACGCAAGAAATGAATAGAAAAGCTCATGTCTCCACCTTGCACATTTGATGAGCATTTTCAACGATTGATCGGAACTTTAGCTCTGACAGTAGGAAGAAAGTTTGAGCATTTGGAAGTGCTATCTTTCTCTCATTAGCAATTGGATCAAAATCCAAAATGACTTCCCTGCATGCAGATAACTCCGTGTCAACCAAGTGAAACTCATTAAAAGTTTGAGCATCGACAATTCACATTGCCTTTTGGTTATTGAATGCCAGTACACCGACCATGTGAAGTGCATCTATCATAACAAACACATTTAATTGAAATAACCAATGCCTAAATATATGCCTTCTGTTAGGGATGAAAGGCCATGTAAGTTCAGCCAAAGCTGCTGATAGGCTTAGCTGTTCAAACAGCTTCCTGCACATCAAAAGAAATGATCGCAGACTGAGGAAGCTACCAGATCCCCTTCGCTTTGGAAGAAGATTATCCAAAGGGTTTTGTGCATGACATGCTTGTCATCATGGACTGGGACTCCCCGATCTTCATCATGAAAAGTGGCATAGCATGGATCTTTTAGAAAGCGGGGAAAAATTAATTAGCGACAGCAACTTTGTGAAAAAGCTCAAAACTTAATTATATTACAGGCAAAATATCTGGCAATTTGCAGCCCGCCACGGAATGCAGAACGTTTACAAGTTAACAAACTGAATTTAAACCATCATGTTTCTGGTCATGATTTGCTGTAAATCTAACTCAGGTAGTGCAAAGATAAAGACTATGTTCTCAAGCTCGAAGGTTAAGTGGAGAGAAATCTCCCTAGTATTTTATTATATATAAATAATAATTTCAATAATTAAAAAAAAACCCCAACAATTTATATGTCTCTTAAAACACTGATCTAGATAAAAAAATATAAACCAAGTAGAAAATAAATAATTAAAATTAAAAAATATATAAAAAAATAACTAAAATAGCCAAAACAATAACTTTCAGGTCTAATTTTGAGATACACAACTATTATTCGATACACAACTATTATTCAACAAGCGATAAGTGACTTATTAAAAGAAAATAGCCTTGGAAATCACCTGAAAAATTTTGAGCCCAATTTAACATCGGATTTATTAGTTTAATTTGCTTTATAGTCAATTGATTAATTAATATGACACTATTATATTCATATAAATATATATTTATTATTGATAAAAATTTAATTTATCTTTAATATCAATATAATATTAAATTAATGAATCTAATATTTAATTTATAAATTTAAAGTAAAAATATAGTCCACATATTTATTATTAATAAAAGCATTAATTCAAAGTTAATGGGACACTAGTCTCTATTGTTTTGGAAAAGAATTTATTTTCCTATCAATGAGTTTTGGTGAGGTCTAGCCCCGCAGGACTGTGAATAGCAGGATCTTGCTCCCGGAGCATGACCACAGATGAGACGGGGATGAATCCTCAGAATGCACAGGACACACATCTCTGGTATTAATTAACGCGGGAATAAATTTTGTCAATTAACCCCCTCAAGATACGAGCATCTGGCCACATTAGTGAAAATAATAGTAATATAAATCACTTCGTTAAGTTTTTATGCCAAACTAATTCAAGATTTAGTGACAGATTCTTTCTCTCTTTCATGATCATAAATATTTTGCACTACATAGATTGATTATAAACCAACTATGACTAAATTTCACATAAATATGATAAGAGCAAAGAGAAATCAATCATTCAGCTAAATCAACAGGATGATGCATCAAATAACGCACTGAGGTTCTCTTGCATGAAACATCACTTTTACAGCAGATGCTCACTACTAATGGAAGCAGATTATTAGCCTCGCAAGGGCCTCTTACCAGAAAGCGCACTCCTTGGTTCATTGCAAATGAGACTTTCATCTGTCCAAGCAAGTGCCTTCTTTGACATGAGAAAATAACAAGAGTGCAACAATTTGCAATTTAATACGAACCCCACTTACTTTTACCATGTTCTAAACCCAATTTCAACATAAATTCTTATTCTTTTTTTTGTCATCAATGACTAGTTTCCTACTTGTTTTTCAATCTCTATTTCTTATAAACAAGCAGGAGCATTAAACCACTCAACATCAAATACCAAATGCAAAAATCTTGCCTTTTTAAAACTTTTACCATCAATACCTCTCAATTCTTGAAGTTCCACAAATTACTAAACATCAATATCCAAATAAAAACACACCCAATTCAAACACGCTTACACAAAAAAAAAAAAAAAAAGAAACAGAGAGGGAGAGGGAGGTTAAAAAACTTACCAGTAGTAGATGTAACCCAGGACACCTATTTTTCACTTTGAAGTTGAATGTTATCAGTACTATCATCCCCCACTAGTAAGTACTTCACTCTCACCACCACCACCACATTGCTTCTTCCTTCACCACCGCAATCCTTCTTACAGCCATTCTCCCACTGGACCACGACAAGGACGATGACGACTCCCGGCTGAGGGGAGACGAGTGTTCCGACGAGGCGTCAGAGGAGCAGGAATCATTCATGGACTTTTGTCTCTAAACTACGAATTTTCCACTCCCGCATTTCTTCTTGTTCTTGTTGTTGGACTCCGTTTCTTGCGGCGGTTGTTTCTCGTTGGTAGGTTTCTTCTTCGTCGCCGGCTTTTCTGGTTCCTTGTTTTCCCGTTCCCTGATGCTGTTCTTGGCCAGCACTCTAGGTGGGTCTCCTGACATTGCCTTTTTTTCGGTGGCTATTGTTTGTGCTGTAGCCATTAAAATCATTTGAAAACTTAAAAAAATAATATTTTTTTAAATTATTTTTTAAATATAAAAACAAACAGCTCTTGAGGTTATGTTTGGGTACTGAGAAAGCGGAGAAGAATTTGTCGATGGTGTTGAAAGACAGGAAGGGAAAATTTTGCGGGCTTTTAGTTTTCCTTTTGGAGATAGAAAGGGAACCATCCAGTTAAAGTGTGCCACGTAACAGGATGTCTGTCTTTAGACTCTTTACTAAGAAGTTGATGTTTTGTCCGCCATTTTTATTTTCCCGAGATCGCAATCTGATTGCCTTCTTTTTTGGATTTGTTTGTTTTATTATCACCGTTATTAAATGGCAAGAATGGTTAATATGGGACATGTCAAGGCTGAATTATTAATTAATTTAGGTAAAATTGATTGTTTAAACTTAAATCTGATAAGAACTTAATTATTTAAAAAACATGTTGTGATTTTAAGATTTTTTTAAATTAAAATAACATAGTTTTGGATTAACTTAGTTTATTTAATTTAATTTATATTTTAAATCTTAGACTACTCATATCTAATCCAAGTTTAATATTAACAAAGCTAATTAGGCATGAAAAAACATTATAAACACAAACTTATTTGCAATGTGTATTGAGACAATATAATGATATCCTTTTTCTTAATGTCCAAAAATATTAAATTGATTATTAGAGGTATTGAGGTTTTTTCATAATGCATTAGTTATTGCTAAATTGATTGTAGAAAAATAATATTTTTTTTTTATTTTTAAAATATGCTAAAATGACCAAATGCTCTTGAAAGCAATAAAATAAAATAAATAAATCTAACATCTTTTCGTATATTTATTATGGTTTTTTTAATTTTAAGTTGGTTGAAAAATAATTTAATATATGACTAAATATAAAAAAAACAAAAAATAAAAAGTGGATGGCAAGTTTATACCTTAGCTGAGAGGTGCTTACATCTTTCGAGTGGTATCTCTAAACAGCCTAAATTGTTTTTCATTGTGTTGTTGAAAATATCCTAATATTCTTTTTCCCATATAGTTTATCACTAATAACATTTTTTTCCTCTCTTTTCTCTCTCTTTTTTTTTTTTAATTTTTGCTATTCATGCAAAATTTTAAAGTTGTCCTCTGATTTCTGAAGATTTTTATTTTGATCTTTTTTCTTCTAATTTCTAATTTTTGTTCTTAGTCCTTTTGTGAATTTTTTTCTAATTTTTGTTCTTAGTCCTTTTGTGATTTTTTTTTTTGATTTTATCCTTTAATCCTAATTTGTAATATGTTATTATTTTCGATTTACTCTTTATTTCTTTATTGTTTTTTTATTGTCCTTTGTGAAATTATTCTTTCTTTTCAATTTCATTTGTCAATTAATTTTTTTGTCCATTTTTATCCTTATTTTTTTTATTTTTTATCATTTTGTTAAATTGTTTCTTCTTTCTAATTTTTACCCTCCAATAAAAAATAAAATTTATTTTATATTTAAATTTTGATCTTCATTCTTATAATTATAATTTTTTTTGCTTTATTTTGAATCCATTTGTATAATTGAAATTATTTTTTCAATTTCATCCTTCAGCATTTTATTAATTAAAAATCAAGTCTTATGATTTTTTCAAATAAGGTGTTGCGGATCTAATGATCCAAATCACAAATTTAAAAAGTTCATGCAAATTGATATTATTATATATATCTATTTTTTAAATTGGCTTTGTTATTTTCTTCATATTTTTTTATCAGTTTATCCTAATACTTGGGTTTTGCAAAATAACTCGAGTTAACTCAATCTTAATTATTAGGATTACATGTTTATCATACTAACTTAAATTAATCAAACTTGATTTTTTAAGGGTTTTTTTTTACTCGATTTTATCCTTCTGTGTTTTATAGGCTGAAAATTAAGCTACACATATTTTTTTAATTTTTTTTTCAAGTTATCATAATTATTTAAAAAAAAAAACTTATCTATCCGCAACAACATTTTTTTTCTTTTTTAAAATACATTTGCAGCAATTGAAGTGTGGTACCAAACCTAGTCTTTGCTAATTATAAAAGGAAACAGATGGATGGCCATGGATATAATATAGTGTATTTTATGGTTAATACCTAGAGGAAATGATTATTTATTATTTATTCCGTGATATTCTTTTATCAGGTCAGGTATTAATTAAAATTAAATCTATTTTTTTTATGAGCTTAACAACATGCCCTTCCTTTTATGATTTAGTTTACTTGAAAAAAATTAATAAATTTTATTATATGTTAACTTCACAAGTCAAGAAAAGATGGAGAGGTATTTATTCCTTTAAATGCATCGAATGATTTAGGAAATGGTCGCTTAAAATTATTCAAAGAGTTTGTATAAATATGATAATGATACTATTTATTGTCTAATATAAAAAATAATAGAGGAAAAATAATCTTGCCAGAAGTGATCTAAGAATAGCATGAGATGGCCCACGAGTCCTTATTTTTGTATAATTTTATACAAGCACATTCATTGTCCAAGGTTACCATAACAATCTGTTTAGAAATACGATAAAAAATATTTTTATTTAAAAATATATTAAAATATTATTTTTAATTTTTTAAAATTTATTTTAATATCAATTCATTAGAATAATAAAAAATACTAACAATATTTAATTTTAATATTTAGTTGCCACACATAGTTAATTGGCCCACGAGTCCTTCTCATCTCAATCTCATGATACACTAGCACATAAATTTTTTCTTTAATGTGTTTTATTATGATAATTTAAAAAAAATAGTTATGATTTAAAAAAAGAATTGTTAGGTTAAGACAAGCAGAAGTTACTCACGTCATCCTAGTTAAAAATTGAGTGAGATGTAGTTTTATTTTTATTTTTAAAAAATAATATCATTCTAATTTTTTTTAAAAATATAAAATAATATTATTTTAAATTAACTTAAATCAATTAATCCGAATTAATCACTATCAAAGCTTTAAACCAAGTTATAAGCCAAAAACAGATTTAATAACTTTGATTTAAATTGCCCTCTCATATCTTTAATCCTGCTTGTTATCCCCTTCAATCAATCCTTAATCTCATGAAATTTTTTTTTATTTTTTATTTAAAAAATGAAAAACACAAAAAAGAGCAAGCAAGGACCCACCTAGGCACTTATCCAACTAGCTTCCACACATTGAAATCCCAACTTCTACAACCACAAAGCGAAGAAGTTTGCACAACAAAACTAACTCCAACTGAAAAAAAAAACTATCCACCTCATGGCTTCAACATCTTTGCTGCCCAAAACCATCTCTCCTTTCCTCACTAACCCACCCTCACTTCCCTGGACTCATCTCACCACCAAGCCATCCTTTTTTAACCCATCAGCAGACCATCATCTTCCATGTACTAGAAAACCAAGCATTCTGACCCCCTATGCAAAGAAAAAGAACCCATGGATTGATATATTTGATGATGGAGAGGACCCTGATATGGAATATGGCTCGTTGTTTGTAGATGGAAAGCAAGATGAAGATACTAGGCCAGTTGATAACCCCAACAACCCATATGGATTCCTTAAGTTCCCAAAAGGTTATAATGTAGAGGTTGCTCAGTTGGGATTGAAAATTAGAGGTGATGTAAGGAGGTGCTGTTGTATGATTTCCGGTGGTGTTTATGAGAACTTGCTCTTCTTTCCTGTCATTCAAATGCTGAAAGACAGGTATGCTGAAAGACAGGAATGATGCTATGATCTAGTATATTTTATACGAATGAAGATAGTCAATTCTTGTTTTATTTATTAATGATGCTTAATTACTATGGTCTTGTTTAAGGTACCCTGGTATTCTGGTGGATGTGTTGGCATCAGATAGAGGAAAACAGTGTTATGAGTTGAATAAGAATGTGAGGTGGGCAAATGTTTATGATCCTGATGGTGATCCTGAGCCGGCAATTTATACCGACATGATTGGAGTTCTTAAGGTTGGTGGCTTGCATACTTGCCTCTGCTCTTTCGATGATTATATCTCATTTGGTCACCTGAGCAGGCTGGAATTTCTGTTTCAGTTTCAAGTTGAGTATAGATTGCAATCTTTAGGATGCCAAGAATTTTAGTGAAGTGCTCCAGCTGTTGCATTTTAGATATAATCAAACCATCTTCGTTTATTTAAGTCTCAAAACCCTGACTAGAATATGTGTTTCCTACATCAACTTGCCATTTCCAGGGTTATTGGCTTAGGTTGATTAGATTTGAAGGATTGTTGCCTTGTGCTTGCAGAATAGGTACTATGACTTGATCTTATCGACGAAATTGGCAGGGCTTGGCCATGCGTCATTCATGTTCATGTCGTCGGCTCGGGATAAAGTTAGCTACATATACCCCAATGTGAATGCAGCAGGAGCAGGGCTACTTCTGACAGAAACATTCACACCAGATAGCACGAATCTTTCAGAAGGGGGTTACCACATGTGAGTTTATTACACAGCATAATCATTTGCAACACTTGTTCCATGGAAAGTTAGACAGCATCTTGAGTGCTAATGGTTTATCAATCTAAGTTGTTTATTGCAAAAGAGAGACGCACCTTGTTGACGAGGTGGGGGTGATTTTAAACACTATACAACAACGTGGACCTGGCACGAAATTGCCGAGGAAAACCTGAACACGGAATTGAAAGAACCTGCCTAATCCAAAAATTGCACTGTGTTTTGTTTAGGTACCATCAGATGCTTGATTGGCTAGGAAGACCAATTTACAATGTGCCCCGGCAACCAGTGCCTCCACTTAGAGTTTCACTTTCAAGGAAGCTGAAAGAGTACGTAGAGGCAAAATATAGGGCTGCTGGTGCAGAGAAAGGGAAATATATTGTGATTCATGGGATAGAATCGGATTCAAAGGCTTCAATGCAGTCTAGAGGTGATACTGATAGCTTGCTACCGCTTGAAGTATGGGATCAAATAGCTGATGCTATAAGGTATGGATGGACTATAATAATATGCCCTACCATTAAAGAACTACCTAAAGCTTAGTTTCAGTTTTGCCCATAATATGCATGGATAGCTTGATTTCCTCTTGCTCTCTATTTTAATTTACTCTCCTCTTTCAAACAGTGGATTTAAGCCAGTTTTTGTCATTCCACATGAGAAAGAAAGGGAAAATGTGGAGGAAATAATTTATAATGAAGATATCGGTATTGTCTTCATCACTACTCCAGGACAGGCAAGTGTCATCTTCCAGTCATTTTCTTATAAATCATAATGTTGTCCACAAAATTCTCAAAAAAAGAAAAAAAAGAAGCATCATGCATGGCTTCTGTTGAAGGTTCTGTCATCAAATCATGTTTTTTTCCGACGAAAACATTTTCAGAAATCTAATAATAATCAACAGTAAGAGAATGCTTTCGAGTTTTCCAAGCTTTAATGTTGGTCGTTCCGTTTTGCCAAGTATAATTCTGTTTTCTTCTCAGCTGGCAGCCCTCGTCAATGATTCAGCTGGGGTGATTGCAACAAACACAGCGGCAATCCAACTTGCAAATGCACGACAGAAACCTAGGTAATTTCTTTGCTCAAAGAAATTGTTTTTATCAACTATTTTGATTTGTGTTTATGCTCAATCTGTTGCAGCATTGCACTGTTTGGTTCTGAAGAGAAGGGTAAAGTATTTGTTCCCAATGCAGAGGAGAAGAAATGCATTATTGTCTCATCTAAAACTGGGAAACTAAAAGACATAGATGTAGGAGCTGTGAAACAGGCAATGCAAATTTTTGATATGTCCCTAGCTCTGGTCTAGAAAAGAAGGGCTTTATTTTTGAAGTTATGATCTTGTGCTTCTTCTCTCAACTTCCATTTTTATTATGAATGTCCAGCCACTGGGAAATCAAAATTGATGTTAAATGCCAATTTGTAAAGTAGAGTTTGAAGCAGTATACAGAAACAGGGTCGACCTGGTGATCCACCAACCCGGGTCTGGCCTTGGCAGGTGAAAAACCTAGATTTGGACCAAAACTCCATGGTTTTGGGCTTTCATTCTCTAAAATGTCAAAAGGTTGGGTTAACTTGGATCCACTCTCAATCCATGAGCTTTTAACCTCTAAGTCTGGTTTGAAAAATGGTTTAAAGAATGAATTGTCTTCAGGATTTACCCAGTTGAGAAATTCAATTTTCTACGAGCACTGTCAAGATAGTGACAGTCTGAACTTTAGCTCATGGAGTTGGAATATATAGCCAGCTAAGAACAGGGTTTGATCTTCTAATCATACATACATTCAAACGCTATCTACCCATAAACACTTTTCTGTCATCTATAGATTACAGCTTGATGACACCATTAATCTTAATATAACTCGTAATACCATGGCTTGAGTAGTAAAATTCAGTAAAATGTAGCTTCAAAATTAATGCCTTTACTAGTTAACTGTAAAAATATTCAGCCAAATGTAATGTAAGTCTACTAGGTGAAAATTACACAAGAAGGAAACTTTGTAAAACAAAGAAGCACCTTCTAAAGTAATTAGAATGAGAAAAATAATTAATCATCAAAATTTGAAAGAAATACGGGGCTCAGATGTTCAAAATGATGTTATTCAACCGGACCTAAAGAGCTGAGAAAGAAAGCATCTTCCAACCATCCACTCTCTTCTTGGAGGTCATTAGACGGTAAAATTGCAACATTTTTAATCAAGATATTGGCTTTGCTCGAGTAGCTGGATCCTCTTTTGATTCCACATAGATCATGAATACATAGCCCAGAGTCCACAGGAGAATGTATTGGAAAGGGGTCCAGGATAGGCATGCAAAAAGACTCAAAATGCTTCCAGCATATTGTGGATCTTGTATAACCCCGAATGGGAACTCTGTCACCCAGGGGATGTTCTTCCCAAAGCGAACACCATAGTAAGTACCGGATTCACCAAGCAATTGGTATACCCTGTAATGTGAAGGTTTTATTATAACCACAAAATGAAGTGGATAGAGGCAGTATAATTCCACACGATTTTACACTTATTTAGACAGCAGCAGCTAAAATATTCAAGTAAAGCCTCAGAATCATAATATAAGAGAACAGTTTCTGGTTTATTTTCCACTACCAGTACCCTACCTCTAAGGAATTATAACTCCCCAAAACAGATACAGTGATTCGCCAAAATTGTAAAACAAAACTTTTTTTCAGTTCAAGGAAGTCATCCAATTACAAAAACAAAAACATGCCAAATATCAGCCACAAAATAAGGACTTGGGAATCTGAACTGTACACTTCTCCTGGGAAGGTCCAAGCAAAGAAACAACCATTCATATATCATGATGCACGTTCACAAAAAGGGACTAGGGAATCTGGACTAGATATCCAAAGATAAGCATCTAATTATGAAAAGGGTGTCCATTCTAAGGTTATAGACAATATCTTAACAGGAAAGTTAAAATTGCATTTCTTATTTTATACTGCTTTTAAATGGGGTATGCCAATCAAAGGCCAAAATTTAAGCAGAATGAAATAAGCTCGTGAAAAGCTGTTCTGTATCAGAACTAGGTATATTTGATAACCCCACCTACTGCAGGATCTTTTACTTTTCCACCAAATCTGATATTTTTTACTATTATTATTCGGTCCAAAAACAGAGACCAGATTCTCATTAATTTCATAATTTTATGACGAGAGCTGAAACTGTAGGTTAAAACAGTGGTTAGAGGAAAAAGGGCAAAGAAAAATGAGAGAACCAAAAATATCAAAAGATATAAACACACAAAAAAGCAAATTCGCAAACAGTATGGTCAAGAATGAGGCATTTAAGAAATTATGCTTCTTAGGCAAGCATCATGCAATGACAGCTATTGATTTCAAAGACTGCTTGATTAGTTGCTCTTATACTCGAAACAGACCATTTATATAATAATATCAAAACCACACAAACTTAATGACATGCTGAAACTGCAAGAGCAAGCAGGCCTAGACTGGAACATGAAACCAACAATTACACACAAACTATAAGAGTGATCCACAGAGCAACAACCTAGACTAAACTCGAGTGACCAGATTAGAACAATGACATGCACATCTTAACATCAATGTGTGACCAGCCACTGCAAGCGAATATTTTCTATAAAGGTGTCATAGATATGTGGATTAATTCTGCCTTTAGTTAGGCTAGAGGTTCTAATCACCATCAAATATCCAAGTAATTGGATAGATAAGAAAGAAACATGAAATAGGGTGAAGATCAGCTCTTTAGGACCAGATTCAGATTTTGATTAAATATAAGAACCAAACTCCAGCAATAACCTACAAAATACACTTTTCTTTGGCTGAAATATAAGCTTATTATATAAATGGAAGCCATTAAAAGGCATCAAGTTTAACATGAAAAAGATCAAAGGGATGGCTACTAGATTGCCTATGTGGAAGCAAACCCAAAATATAGTGTAAATGTAAGAGAAACAAGAAAGGAAAGAAACCATTCTTTTTTGCTTTATCAATGGTGTGTAATGTATGACAGTTCTTATGTTCCAATTCAACCACACTCATCGATTGAGCAACAGGGGTTACCTCATTCTAAATGATAGGAGCTAACAGCAAAGCAAATCAATGACAGCTACCAGCACTTGGTTATAGAATGATAAAGTATGCCATAAAGCATTAAATAAGCAAAAAAATAGATGCTTCAAGGTAAATCCACCAGTCCACCTCACAACAAAGCACCATAATTACCATTACTCAACTACACCAAGTATTTTTCATTTCTATTACCTAAAAAAAGAAGCAAAACTTGAATTCTGAATTGGGTCCATAACCAACAATTCATCCCCATCAAAAAGTTACCAACATGGGGACATTTAAGCTACCAAAAACCGATCTTTGTAGGCATATATCGATATGCTAGTATCCATAACAAAGAATTTGCAGTCTCTTTTGCCAAAAAATGAAGGAAAGTTTACATGAATTCCTAGCTGGGTCTTTCACCAACAATCCATCACAATCAGACAGTCATCAAACTGTACATTATTCAATTAAAAAAACCAATCTTTACAGGCATACATAAACAAGTCAGATATTGATAGTACAGTGATTGACTGACCTGAAGTTGAGGAACTGACCAAAGCCAAAGAGGGGCCAGAAGTAGAGAGGAGGAGGCCAAGAGAGAGTGGAAACTGAAAAAAGAGAAATGAACTGCAACAACTTGAGGAAATGTGAAACATGAGACATAACCTTTGATGGGTTCTTGTCTTTCCCACATAGGTTCACCCATGCTTGTGGGTTTGTCCATAGCCAGTAGTAATACGGGAAGGGAAGCAACACCCCTACTGCTGCAAAGACACCCATTTTCTCTCCTGCTTGTTTTCCTATTGATTTTCTAGGGAAATTTAGTAACAAAGTCACAATGAGTACCAGGATTTTTGTCTGGTTTGGTGTGTTTTGGAGTGGAGACCGGAGAGGTTTGATTTTGATGGTGATTGTGACACATGGTCTTCCCAGGCAAAATAAAATGGGATTGGGCCTTATGAGTTGATAGAAGTGTTTCTAAGAGCCCAATTGGGCCTTATGAATTGATAGAACTGTTTCTATGAGCCCAATTTATGGATTTAAAAAAAAAAATACATTTCTTCTTCTGTTCGGGCCCAATGTCATTTGTCATTTGACATTTGTACAACTTACCGATATATTATAATGTGTGTTTGATGGCGAGGAAGAGAGTGGTTTTTCATTAAAAAGAAATATATTAAAATATACTTTTTTAATTTTTTTTAATTCTTAGTAGAACATGAAAATTATAAAAACATCAAATATTGAAAATCAGTTTAAAAAATAGATTTAAATTGTTAAATTCATGTCCGGAAGATAATTTCAAGTAAATTTACTTAATGAGATATATATAAACATATATTATATTCATTTGAACTTGAACTGCTTTTCTTTCCTGTTAATATAATAATCATCATTCAGCTTTCTGTTTTTTTTCCCCTATAATTAAAAACTAAGATTTTGTTTATTTTTAAAATTTAAAATTTTATTTATTTTTTCATTTACTACAAATTAATATGTTTTTAGTGTTTTTAAATTATTTTAATATATTAATATCAAAAATAATTTTAAAAAAATAAATATTATTTATATATATTTTAATACAAAAATTTATTTAAAAAATAATCATAATCATTATCAAACAAACTTTAAATGCATAAACCATATATTTTCATAATGAAAAGTAGGTGCACGGGAGAATTTGCATCAAATCATAGCTATTAATTTATTGCCTTGTATCACTCCCGTCAGAATGCATATCAATCTTCATCCTCGAGGATAAACAAAGCGAAACATATCTCTTAATTTCTCATGGTTTCTTTCACTTTTCCCTTTGAAAGGAATTTAGTTTCAAGTGGGTGTCTTCTTCTCCTTTTGCTATCTCTGCTGTAAGATTCCATGCCATCTCTTACCTAAGCAACGATTACTAGCTCACCTAGCTAGCTAGGGTTCACTCGCAAATTAACTGTGTAAAAGATTAAAATTGGAGGTGATTGATTTGATTCTGGTTTCAGATCCCATCAAGAAGATTTCAAAAGGGTCAACATCGATCCATCGTAGTCTTGGCTAAACACTCCTGATCAGATCGAATGTTCAATGAATTTCATAACCATTGACGTGAGCCGAGCTCACGGGACACAACTACATAAACATCATTAAAACTAGCTGTACGAATTGAGAAAAAAGGTTGTCTCCTTCGTCTCGCAAGAGCAGATTGATTAGATGTATCTTAGGGGACAACAGGATGAGCATGATTTTACCTAAGAGATGCGCAACAATGGGATTCTTGCATGGTCTTTGAAAATAGAAAAGACGATTGCAGGAAATCTGAAAAGTTAGATGCAAAGAAGATTATAAGGGAATAATATATATATATATCTTCGATATCTGGGTGACTTTCTTACTACAACAGTAATTGTGATGCTGAACAAGAATATTATGCTCAGACTTCTTATCATTATCTCTTTCAAACAGTACCGATCATTCTATTCTAATCAACTGGAGTTCGTCTTTGAATATTTCCCATGGATTGATTGGTGTAATATTAAAAGTACTGGTATAATAAATTAACGAAAAGCATAATAATTCTTTAAGACGCCTTAAAGTCGAAGTGACACCATATGCATGATAAATCTTATTTCCAAATCAACATAGGAAATTTGAAGGGGTTGACTGATCAATCGGATCGATTTGTTCAATTTCTTGATCTTTTAAATTTTAATATTAAGGTAATATCTAAAAAAATTGTTTATTAATTTTTTTTTAAATACACCATGCTTGTATAAATTTAGTCTTGATTAACACGCTAAAATACACTTATCATAAAAAAAAAACACGCTAAAATACACTTATCATAAAAATAAAATAAAATCAACATTAGAATTATTAACCTTTTTATTAATTAATTAGAATTAAGTATAACTTGGTCTCTATATTTTTAAAATCCATTAAGTTAATCCTTGTATTTTCATCTCGTTTCCTTTGGTTAATTCTTGCCACTTAAGTTACGGATTGAATTAGTGGATCCTGTGATTTGTACAGCTCGTAAGTAAATTTATCTGTAGTATTTCATGTATATTTGATATTGCTATGCATAATATTTTTTAAAATTATTTTTTATTTGAAAAACTATTTAAATAATTTTTAAAATTATTTTTTATTTGAAAAATCATTTAAATAATTTTTTTTAGTTTTTTTATTTTTAATATTATCATATTAAGATCATCAAAAAATATTAATTTAATAATTTTTAAAACTGAATATATTTTTAAAATGCAATTATAAATACAAAAAACAAATTGTGCCATAGTAAATAATATTCCAACATGCACCAAACATATGCAAGGGAATACTTACGTAGTTTTATGATTGAAAATTACTTGTCCACTCCCATTTCTACCCCCCCTCTTAAAGTGTCTTTTAACAATTTTACTGGAGAAAATTTTTCTGCCGTTGTAAAACACATATTCCATGGATAATTAATATACCAATAAAATTATCAATAGAAATAATTTGTTGTTAAATTTTTTATTGATAATTTTTTATCTATCAGTAAATCTGTTTGTTAACAATTTTACTGGAGAAAATTTTTCTTTCGCTGTAAAACACATATTCCATGAATAATTAATATATCAATAAAATTATTGATAGAAATAATTCATTGTTAAATTTTTTATTAATAATTTTTTATCTATCAGTAAATCTATTTGTAATAAAAAAATATTATTACCAACGGATTTACTCATGAAAAAAATATTATTACCAACAGATTTACTGACAAAACAAACACTTAAAAAAATACCCGCTTCATTCCGTCGGTATATCATTCGAAAAATACTATCGGTAATTCCTTCAGTAATTATTTAAAAATATTTTAAAGAATCTATTTTATAAAATTATAAAATAATTAAATAACATAAATCAACACTCTATGGTATATACTCAAAATGCTTAGAAAAAAGAATAAGAAAATCAACTCAAACAAATTTGCAACAAATAAATAAAATAAAAAAATAAATTCAACTAAAAAAATTCATATGAAAAAAATGAGGTTGCAATTGCTAAAAATTTTAAAATCCTATAAATAAATCATCTAAAAATTGATCTCACATGAAAAAAAAAATCTCACAACAACATTTATATAATTATTAAGAACAAAAATAATTAAAAATAAAATAAAAAACAAATATAGTGAAAAAAATCATGAAAAAAGAAAAACATTACCTTAATGTAGTTGCAAGTGAAGTTAATGAGAGAAATTTTTTTTTTTGTAAAGCATATTAATTAAAAAAACTAAGAGGATAAAAGAAGAAGAAGACATACCCGAACATAGAGAAAAAGAAAAGGACATGAGGAGAGAAAAAAAGAAAAAGAAATAGATATGGATGATTTTTACATATAGTGAATAATAATAATAATAATAAATGAGTCTATCTCTTATGAAATAAGAGAATCTAGACTTTTTATTGAGGCACGTTAGTGACGGATTTATCGACTAATAATTAAATATTAATATTTTTTAATTATTTCATCGGTAATATTTAATTCAAATTTTTAATTTTATAAAAACTTTTCAGAAAACCGCCAACAATTACCGATAATTTCTCAATCCATCGGTGATTCCGTCTGTGATATGTAAATAAAATTTTTAAATTAATTGAATTTTTTCAGAAAACCGTCAAATAACACCAACGACTTTTCAATCCGTTAATGATTTTTTTTTGTAAAAAACAACAATTAACAGTGCAATTAGAAAGTGAACAATTCTGGAGCTCTCTGAAAAATACCGACAGAAAATTTCATCTATGATTCCCTTTGTATTTGACATGATGAACAGTATTCACAGTTTACTGATAGATTTTACCGACAAAATAAATTCTATCGGTAATTTTGTTGATAAATTATTTTTTTATTTTTGTTTTAATTGTTTTTCACTGTAATTCTCTCGGTATATACCGATAAAATATTTTCATATGTAAAATTCCTCAAAAATTTACCAATAAAAATATTCTCTCCATATTTTTATTTATTTTTATTAATTTTCCCAATTATGAAAAAAAAAGGGGGAATTCCAATATATCTACCATCATTTTAAATGTGCCAATCGATGGATTTCAAATCCATTGCTGTTTGGTTGTCCTTTTAACTTTCAGATTCATGATAGTTACCAGCATTGCTTTTCTTGTTTGACCAATTTGTGTTTGACAACATCAGTGTTCGCTCTCCACACAGGACAAATCAATCGGAATGTTTTAGATAAAGCTTCCTAGAATGGATTGGTTCAGTTACCACCCCCTCTTCTTGCATCATCATGTTTCTAACGTTTAGGGAAAAAACCAGCCTTCAACAAAGGATAATGACAAGTCTCGTAGATTTATTTCTTGAATTCTTCTTCTTTTTAGTGAAAGGAACCTTCCGGGTTCTTAAGCACTCAGCACACGTCTCGATGCTTCACAATCACCATTAAGATAACTAAATTTAATTAAGAATGGATAAGTTTCTTGCATTAAGGTAATGGTTATCATTCCAAGCACATGACCATCTCACATGTTCACCAAAAACGTGGTGACGGGCATGATTCTCACCACCTTCACCAATAATTGGTGAAACACGGAGTAATATAATGTTTATTATTTGAAACGGCTACTCTAGGGACAAAGATTTTGCTTCACCATTTAACTAAAAAGAAGAGATATTGTAGCCATCATCTACTCCACCCCAAAAATCGGCTGATACGCAGAAGTAATTATGCCTATGATAACCACTAGTCCAAATGCTTGATTGACAAGTTGTAATTAGCGCCGGATTATGATATAAATGATTAATCGTAGAAGTCTTTCATGTGATTGGTTTATGAAATTCTTGGGAAAATCCACGCCAGACTTCTTAATCGTAGAAGTCTTTCATGTGAT